TATTTATTTATTTATTTAGCGGTAGAGGATTCACAATTCATCAGCCAACATGGCCTAAGGGGAATAATACTTGGAGGAATAACACTCCGCTTTGGTCATGTTGACTTTGGGATTATGGGGAAAATAGTTTTCTGAAGCTGTGTCTCTAGATGGTTGTCCAGAAACACTTTCCTCATCTTTTTGGACTCCTTATTCTGTGTATTAAGACCTGTTTTTGTGCTGCCTCCACATTTTATGTCAGCAAATCAATTTGTTGAGCGCTCTCATGATTTGTTAGCTTGAATCCTGTTCACATTGTGGATTTTCCTCCATAGATTTTATCTGGCGGATGGCTGGGTGAGCATTTAGAAAATGTGTTATATGTTGTGGGTTTGTTCCTAATATGCTTTTAAAGGCTAAGAAATTTATTTTCCTTAGTAGATTTTTAAGCTTTAACAACTTCAGTCTTTTATGAGATGTTTTCTCTGTCTTTTATTTTTAAATGTGCCTTGTTGGGCTATAGCTGCCTGGATAGCTCAGTGGTTTAGGGATCTGGCTGCAGAGCCAGAAGCTGGAGGTGCGATCCTCCGTTTGTGCCTTCTGGGAGAAGGGCCAGCCTGTGTAGCCGTGGGCAAGCTGCACAGTCCCAGGGCATCCCCAGAAGCACAGAATGGTAAACCACTTCTATTTTTTTTTACCTGGAAAAAGGTCGCTATAAGTCAGAATTGACTTGACAGCACATGGTTATTATTAGGTTATAAGCTCTTGCATTTTTAGAAAGCAATTTAAAATCCTTTTTGATATTTTATTGTACTTTTCCTCCTGTATTTTGGATTGAGGCACGATTTAAGTTCTGCCTGCAACTGAAGTTCCATTTTCATATATATTCTTAAGCATTTGGGCCTACAGTTTTCTTCATAACTTTAAGATGTTTGCTTTTTACAACAGCTCTGAAGTAATTTTTGTGCTTATGGAACATAGAAGCAATGTAGATAAATAAAGCTGGTAGAAGTAAACGCCCTGATGAGGCCTTGAATTATTGCAACAGTGGAAAAGCATATACTTTGATACTCAGATGAATTTTGATATGATCGTTAATGATCAGTTTCCGTCTGCAATTAACTCTTGGTTGGAATAAATGTCAGCTGTGACATAGATAGGCTTCTGACCAGGAGGTCTATAAGTTTCTCTAGGACGCGTAAGGAGTGTCAATGGTTGGTTTATCTAACTTGACGTTTTCCCCTGCACGTGTTTCTTTTCCTCGGTGGCTTGTCTTGAGTCATCCTGAAGAAACACTGGCCCTCCACAGGTCCTTTCTCTGTGGTATACTTTGCTTCCCTTTGTGGTCGGTATTCTGAGGAGAGGTTCTGAAATAGAGATGACTCTGTTCAGAATTGTGGCTTGCGGTTCCAGGTTTCACTTCCCTTTCCATCGCTCGGATTCTGCTGAATCTCAAAAAGGGCTGCTTACGTTGCTTCCCAGTGTTGTGCTGCTCTCTAACAGAAGGCGTCAAATATGCACGAGCCTCTTTCTGGAGGGGGTGAACTTGTTAGTTCTGCTCATTTGTTATTTTGAGTACTTATTAAAAGCACAACCCCCCCTCCCAAAAAAATCTTAGCCGTCCATTCTGCCACACTGCCCCTTGGAGAATGCCTAAGGAGAAAACTAAAGAACAGGAAGTTTATGCCAAAGGATGAAGTGGAAGGGGAGTTAATGTTCCTGCTGGGAAAGCGTCATCATACAGACTGAAGAACAGGAGAGGAATACAACATTTTTCTATGTATAAGACGCCCCCCATTTTTTAAATCCAAAATTAAGAAATCTAAGTGGAGATTAGCAAGTGCAAGGGGAAAGGGATCAAACCCCTGCAGGATCACTCTCTTTGATCCCTGCTTTCTCCTCCACTTGTTTTTTGTTCTCTTCTCAGCTTACGTCCGAGTGCAAGACGACCCTCAATTTTTAGTCTAAAGATTTTAGACAAAAGTATAGTCTTATACACAGAAAAATACAGTAATCAGAAAATCATTGAATACGTGAGTTGGAAGGGGCCTATAATAAGGCTGTCGAGTCCAACCCCCTGCTCAGGGCAGGAATCCAAATCAAAGTAGATCTGACAGGTGTTTGCCTCAGTTTCTCTTGAAGGTCTCCAGTGCTGGAACACTCACCACCTCCTGAGGTCATGGGTTCTATTGTCATACTGCTCCAACAGTTAGGAAGTTTTTCCTCCTGTTCCACCAAAACCTGTAACTCGAGTGCATTATTACGTGTCCTGCACTCTGGGATGATTGAGAACAGATCCTGGCGCTCCTCTGTAGGGACAGCCTTTCAAGGATTTGTCGAGTGCTGTCCTATGTTTTTAAACCAAGCTATGGTGGATTAAGTCAGTCTCAGTATCGCACACAGCTTCCTATGTTCCATTCTTCCTAGTACTAGATTATGATTTCCTAAAATCCCTTACCTCTCAATTAATCTAAAGTTGTAGAGTTGTATTCAACTGTTCTTAACCAAAGCATTGAAGATGCTAAGTCCGTCCTCAGGGTCAAAGGAAGAGAGAGCATGAAAGATGATGTCTCAGTGGCCCGTACAAGCCTTCTGTTCTGTTTCCTTTTTCTTCTTCCTCAGGACGGCTACGTCTTCCGCGTCCAAGTAGCCTACCACCGAGAGCCCCAGATCCTGAAGGAGGCGGGCACCCGGAAGGCATGCTGAAATATCGGGACACTCCGGAATCCCAGCAGCTGGAACTGGAGACGATCCATTTGCCCTTCCTGACCAGCTCTCTCCACGGGTGAGGGAGAGTTCTCCTAGGCGGGCAGGGGCTGAGGCGTTGCGGAGCTTGGAAATGTCACTTTTTTTGGACTACAACTCCCAGAATGCCCCAACCGATAGGGCCCCTGGGAATTGTAGTCCAAAAACATTTGGTTTTTTTTTAAATTTTCTTTACACATTGGTTCCATCATCCTGAGATATAGTGTTCAGAGAAGCTCCCCTGGCAGCTGTCTGGAGAGAAATGAAGTTCCAGATGAAAGGAAGTCAGTTTGGGGCCATTGGGAGGAGAATCTCCTATTTGCTTGGAACGGTGCACCTTTATAGCCGTCAGGGCCACCTGGCTAGCTCTGGCCTGTTAGTACAAGGAAATTCCCTCTGGGGACGTGGCTGGTCTCTTTCTGGTCCCACCGTTGGGCAAGAATTGAGTGAGGATGCGTGGCCTAGATCCACCCCCCCCCCGTTATAGGAGCTTTGTGGCGCAGAGGTTCAACTGCAGTCCTGCAGCCGAAACTCTGCCCACAACCACTCCAGGTACCTGGCTCGAGGTTCACGCGGGCTTCCATCCTTCTGAGGTCAGTAAATTGAGTGCCCAGCTCACAGGGGGCAGGAGCTTGGGATAGCCTGCGTAATTAAATTGTAATCCACCCAGAGAGTGCTTTTAAGGCGGTGGTCCCCAACCTTTTTTGGGACCACGGACCAGCTGAGCTTCTGAGGGAGGCAGGGTGCGCACACACACACATGCGCAGGAATGCCTGCACGCACGCACGCCCCTTTGCTTGGGCGTATGCATGAAGTGGTGGGGGAGTGCTCACGCCGGCGCTGGCACATGTGTGTGTGCGCCAAGCAGCTGTGGGGAGGGGAGTGGGTTGCGGGGCGGGGCAGGAGGTCTGTCTTCACGGCCCGGGCCGGCTCAGGCCACTGACCGGCATCGGGCTGCGGACCAGGGGTGGACGACCCCTGCTTTAAGGGCTGTGGGGTGATGTAGACACATCATGCTTCACCGTGCTTTTGTTCCTTGTGGCCCCTCCTGAGACCTGCTTTTTTGTCATTCTTTTTGAAAGACCAATTTCTTGCACATTTTGGTGTTTTTAAAGTCCAGGCCTCCCCGTTTCTCAGAGCCCTTCCTCCTCCTCCTCCCTGTGTAGCTTCCAATCCCCGTCCTCTCTTGGCTCCGGAGGCCGACTTCCCTTTTTGGCCTTTGCGGTGGGACACAAATTGGCCGGAGAGCCAGCATGGAGTGGGGTGGTTTGAACCCTAACTCACAGGGCGGACCTTGACCCATTCACTATGTCAGCTTGGCCTGCCTCACAGGGTGGGTATAAGAATAAAATGGGGAAGGGGAAAGCGGCAGAGGCCACCTTGACCCCCGCTGAAGGATAGGGGGATTTAAACACAAGCCAGTAAGTTAAAATAAAATGGGCAAAAATATATAGCAATTCACTCCCCCTCCCAAAAAATTCAGAACCTCCCTGACTCCAAGGCAAGATTGTCTCACACGACAGAGGTCTCTTTCTCTGAGAAGTAGGGCAGGAATGGGCAAATTCTAGGGGAGGACAGTCCCTGGGCCAGTGCCTCTTCCTTCCGAAGGTGGCGCAGGGGTTTGCAGGGTAGGAAGGGCTCACGAGCTTCTCAAATGGCCTTTGTGGGCTGCCCACGGACGAGATGATTCTCACCGGGCGTTTTTGCTGCAAGGAACGGGGGGCTCAACCGGTTTGCTTCCCCCCCCTCACTTCCAGCCTGCAGCAGCAACATCCAGCTTTCAGCGGCACCTCCCGCCTCGCCAAACGCTGGATCAGTGCCCAGATGCTGAGCGACGGCCTCTCAGAGGAGTGCGTGGACCTGTTGGCGGCGTTCCTGTTCCTGTGCCCAGCGCCCTTCACGGCACCCAGGTGAGGGGGGATGAGATGGGCACCTTTTTTTGTTTTGTTTTTTGTTTTGTTTTTGGTTCGTGTGTTTTAGGAACGCCTTGTGCTTCGATCTTGGCCAGAACAAACCACGTCTTCTGTCTCTAGGGAGCGGTTAGGATGTCATCCCCTCTCTCTTGTGGTCCATCCCCAAATGAGGGAACCTATCAATATTCCCTAAATAAGATGTGCCTTTCTGGATTAGGCCAAGAGGACTCGAGTCCTGCACCCCGTCTTCAGCGGGGGCCATAAGCAAGAAGAAGAAAAAGTAGTCAGGCCTGCAGTCTTCGGCTCTCCAACGGACGATAACACCTGTAGATACCCAAACAAGGTTTATGGGTCTTGTATTCCACAGTATATCCCCATCCCCCGAGGACATCGGATGGAAAGTTCTTTAATCTCTCTAGATTGAGAGCAGAGACCAAAGTCCAACTGAAATGCATGCGGGACTTCCTCTTTGCCGATGATTCAGCTGTTGTTGCCCATTCTGCGGAAGACCTCCAACAACGCATGAATTGTTTTAGCAAGGCCTGCCAAGATTTTGGATGAACAGTCAGCCTGAAGAAAACAAGTCATGGGCCAGGGCGTGGACTCACCTCCCTCTATTACTATCTCCACACAAGAATTGGAGGTTGTTCATGACTTTGTGTACCTTAGCTCATCCATCTCTGACACCCTCTCCCTGGATGTCGAGCTGGATAAATGCATTGGGAAAGCAGCTACCATGTTCTCTAGACTCACAAAGAGAGTCTGGCTCAATAAGAAGCTGACGACACATACCAAGATCCAGGTCTATAGAGCCTGTGTCCTGAGCACACTCCTGTACTGCAGTGAGTCCTGGACCCTTTGTGCACAGCAGGAGAGGAAGCCGAACACCTTCCATATGTGTTGTCTCCAATGCATTTTTGGTATCACCTGGCAGGACAAAGTTTCAAATAGAGTAGACCTAGAACAAGCTGGAGTTTTTAAAACATGAATACATTACTGAAACAGCAACGTCTACATTGGCTCCAGCATGATGTGAGAATGGCTGATGGTCGGATTCCAAAAGATCTCCTGTATGGAGAATGAGTGCAGGGAAATTGCCATAGAGGGAGACCACAGCTGTGATACAAGGAGATCTGCAAGTGGGATCTGAAGGCCTTAGGAACGGACCTCAACAGATGGGAAACCTTGACTGAGTGTTCAGACTGGAGGCAGGCTTTGCATCATGGCCTCCCCCAATTTGAAGAGACCCTTGTCCAGCAGGCTGAGGCCAAGAGGCAGTCCCGGAACAAGCAAAACCAGGGAGCTGGACAGGGGACAGACTGGATTTGTCTTCAGTGTGGAAGGGATGGTCAGTCCTGAATTGGCCTTCTTAGCCGCACTGAACACTGTTCCAAGTCCTCCATACAGAGCACCTGACCATAGTCTCTCGAGACTGAAGGATGCCTATAGGGAGAACATGTTGGATCTTTGTAAGTTAAAAACAAGTATCTGACTAGGGGTCTTTGGGATGGTGCTTTAGTCT